CCCCGCGGCCGGGAGGTGCCGGAGGGACCGGGGACTGCCCGCCGCCCCTCGCTCCGCAGGGCTCCGGAGAGCCTTCCCGGGCAGGGCCGGTCCGCGGACGGGCCCGGCCCCCGGGCGCAGCCTGCCGTGGGCGGCGTGGGGTTTGCGCTGGTGATGCCGCGGGGAGAGCCCCTCCGCAACCACTGCAAGGTGCGCGGGCGGCTCTCCCTACCCCGGCCTTAGGAGCCGGCTCGCCCAGGCCGACGGGCGCCATTCACCGTCACCATCCCGTTGCAGGGAGGGCCCCCGAGTCTCCGGCCGGAGGCACACGGTGAGGGCTGGGTGCGTGTTCCTCCTACAAGATCGTCCTGACAGCATCATGACTTTGCCATCACCTGCAGAGAGGCCTTGCATTGGCTCCGAGAGCTTCTGAGGAGATGGGCACACTCTGCCGTGTCCTCAGTGCAACCACCAGGTCCTGAACATCCTGAACACTGCACACACTCCCTGCAACACATATTAGTGTGCCAGCCTTAGATGGCAGCCTCTGGTGGACCTTGGCAGATGGAGAGACACTGGCCCAAATCTGCAGGACCTTCACTAGTGGCAAGGGTCCTTAGAAAGCTTCTCATGTCTTCAGAGCTCACACTTAGACTTTGGGGTTAGCTGGTATCTTGGCAGCACTAAAAACCTCCCTGTTACCCTGGGTGAGGAACTTGGCAAGTAGACAGCAATGCCCAAGATCAAAGGGCAGAGGAGATTTCCTTAGCCAGGTCACCCTCTCAGCTAACACCACTCTGGTCCTGTCCGATCCTCGAAGCCCGAGACAGCTAGCTCATTTCCATGCTTTATTCCCACCAGTCATGGGTAGCAGAGGCAGCTCTGGGCTGAGCCAGCAGCTGTGACAAGACTGTGACACTCATTGTCCTCCACAAATGAAATGCTGCAAATCAGTGTAAGAGACCAAGCAGAAAATCAAGCATGCCCAAACGATAGCTCAGATGCTGTTACCAGTTTGTAACTCCTCAAGACAGAGGACTATTTACCAAGGAGCTGGGTATCAACCTGAGACAGACTTTGGCGAAGACAGTGGGGGTGTCTCAAATGCTCTGAACCAAAGCAACTGAGGAAACAACAGGCAAGATAACAGGGATTGAAATCAGTAGAGCAGTAAGACCTGCTGACAGTGCCAAAAGAGTGAGGCAAGAACTGTGTCCTTAGCCAAAAGGTAATCCCAGCAAGGGGAGATCATGACCATTGACCCAGTGACTACCTTCTCACCAGAGACCCCTACTCTAGTAAAAGAGTAGACTGCACATGTGAAGTCATGCCCCTCATGACACCTGAAGTCCTTTTGGAGAAGGAAAATCATGCCCTTGACAAGAGTACATCCACCAAATTCTTCAAAGGTGTTGAGCAGAATTTCAGAATCCCTCAGCCAGCCCCAAAAGTACTCTTCATGCCTTGCTGCCAGGTTCCAGGCTGGGACATCCCAGGAGACTGAGGCACTCGCACAGATATAGCACCAGATAGCTATTGAGAAGCAAAGTTCATGGATGGAGCACAGGAAGTAATCCAGCTATGGGTATCAATCATGGCTGCTTGTGCAGCAGCTGCCCTTGGCCTACCCTGCCTACAGGTACTGAGGTGACTTCTGGAACCCTTGTCTGAGCAGCATGTGCTCACATCTTCACCATGGAGAAGTAAAAGACAGGTCAGGTACTGATGCACTGAGATGTCCAGTGCTTCCTTTCACATGTGTTGTGCTCCAGGCCTGTTTAAGCTGTAGAAGATTGCATGCAGGACTGACAGGGGACAAAGATGTCTTTGTTTGAGGTTACTGGGGGGAAAGATTCCTGCTGCTTGCAGCCCTGTCCACTATAGGCACCTGGCTGTGCTAGTCGTGAGCAAGTCGTGAGCAAGTACCATTCATGTGAGCACTAGTGCTTTTATATGCAAGGGCTGAGCTGCAGCACACAGAGGCATAGATCCTGCCAGCCCAACATCACCCAGGGCCAAAAAGGGGGGAAGAAGGGAAGCCTCATGACCTCTACCTGTTTGCAGCTCAGGGACTTACTGAGCCAGCAGTATTTGGCCACCCTCCACCAATTTATCCTCTCAAACCCTATAAACCTTAGGTGGCCCCAAGGTCCTGCAACAAGGTGAACTATAGATTAATGGCACATTCTAAGAAAGAGGGTGGGTGTGGAAATCAAAACCATCCTTTCTAAGGTTGGAGCTGGTATCCCAAGGTTTAAATTAATGCAGAGACAGGAAGCTTAATTTAACAAGTACTGTTATGCATACAGCAAGACTCAGCAAAGACAACTGTTGGGTAGAAAGTCACCTGATTTATCCACAGGTGCCAGCGCAGGCAGGAGGAGCTGCTGGGCTGCACAACCAGGTCAAACTGTATCCCAGCCACAACAGCTGGCAGTGGCAGCAGCAATCATCCTTGAGCATTTCATGCAGAGACAACCTCTGTTCAAAGCACCCCTGCTACTGACTGATACTCACTGCAGGTCTTAAAGAGGCCTGAGGGATTTGCATTAGACAAACCTAACCTCCGGGCCCAGCTGGCATCTTGTGACCTGAGTTCAGTGCTTTTCAGTACCCCTAAAGTTTGTAAAGCACAAGGGAAGTAGAGTAGGGCCCAGAGGACATGCAAGCTTGTTAGCAAGGTGCAGGTCTGCATAGGCTTTGCAGATATTCCTGCATCCACCACGTTTTAGTAAAGAACTACCCCACTGAATGACAAGTGACGAGTTAGCAATATGACCAGAGGAAACAGCCCTTAGCAAATAATGTCTGAAGCAAAACCAAGAGGTGGTGAAGACACACAAGAAAAGAAACTTGTAAAAACCCTGAGATGCCCTTCCCTTCTGATTTCAATTAAAAATTATTCTCAGAATTTCCCACCAGGGACAACACCTTGGTTCTTACATTTACTTCAGAGGTGTTTATTTTTTAACAGGTCATTATATACCACATAGACCAAAGTTTATTATATACCATAGAGATAATCTGGCTATGGTTTGGTCTAATAATACATGTTTCAAATGCTTTTTTTAATAAATATAAGGGCAAATCAGGAGGAAAGATTTTTAAGCTGTTGCAGAAAGCTCTAGGAATAAAAAAAATTTAAGTAAACTTGTTATTTACATGGTCTTGATTTAAAAGATAATGTCTGTAGCAGTAGCAAAAATCCGTATTTGTGCACACCCATGCACATAACAGTATGAGTAAATTAGATTAGCAATACCATCTGTGAGGAAAAACCTTCTGCCTTCTAGGCTACCTTACCTAGGCGGCGCAAGTGCATTTTTTGAGATATTGTTATAAGATTCCAGTAACATTTTCTTCTCATCCCGCACTTTCAATGTGTGCAGCTCTCAGTGACATGCAGAGGATCTATCCACTCTTCCCAAAACCTTATTTCCACTTTGATTACTTCCATACTGTGTAGTTGGCCTCCACAGCTCTCTCCCAGTTTTCTACAATTCATTGAAGCTGGTTGACTTGTCCAGTTGTGCCTAAGGCAGAGCTGAGGCAGACCACACATCTCAAGTGAACAGAGGCTGGTGCTGTTTCCACCAGTCTGTGGCACCAGGCTGAGGACGCTATGGGCTATGAATGCCTCTTTCCCCTTCCTCTGCAAGCACTGACAGCTTGAAGGGTTGGGTTGTCAACCACAGGATGTTTAAAGGAGGCATAATCCACTGGGGTTCAATGTCAGTCTAAAAACACAGAGTAGAGCTCCCATTACAGCAGGGTCTGCTGCATGTTGTCAGTGCCAGCACTGCAGGCACACCTGGAATAAAGCACCCCTCAGCAGGAAAGTGGGGCTGCAGGATCTGGCGTTGTGTTAGGGAAAAGAAATTGTATTTATCTGAAGCACTTGACTCATCCTGGGTCTGTGGAGGATTGAGCCGCACAGGCAGGGCATCCAGCCCAGGGGATGGGCAAGCAAGGGAGAAGGCTATCAGACCCCATTCCCAAAGGCAGACAGGGCATCTCTGTGTACTAGACCTGGGTTCAGGGGAAATTAATGATTTTTCTAAAGAAAATCAGGTCATCTGTTGTGACCTAGACCCTGTGGTTTGCAGGTTCATTCCCAGAGTGCCATAAGCCAGGGATATCAGCACAGGAAAACAGTAACTGTAGGGCAGAGAGAGACAGCCACACACTCATCCTGGCCAAGCGTGAGGCCATCAGAAGATCCAGTCGTTCCCAGTAAAAGTCTCTGTAACACAGGCCCTGCCTGAAGCCAGGCTGCTGTTGGTTTCACACTGGGATGAGAGTTCCTCTACAGAGCAAACTCACCTCCGGAAGGCAGAGTGCTGCCAGGGTCAGGCCAATCCATAGATGGCTCTGCTCAAAGCTAAATAAAGAGGAGAGAGAGCTCCCAGCATTTCCCAGCCAGACAGGGAGACACATCTTGTGCTCCCATGGATTTCCACGGGAATCAAACTGTAGAGACAACTCCACTCTCCCACAACCCATTTCCCATGTCTGAGCCTAAATCCAACGGGGTGATGTTCTCCAGCTTCCAGGACTTCCTCAGACCCAACATTCACCTGGACGCAGTGTCTTGACCCAGTAACTGCAACGTTAAACACACGCTCTCCTGGCAGGTTAGCCACTGAAGGCACCATGCCTTCGAAGAGCGGCTTTCTTCCTAACCAATCTGCTTTGGGTACCAATGAGGGAGGGTTCTAGGTTCATTATTTCCAGTGATTTTACTTGTACATAAAGATCTCACTCAAGCCTCCATTGGAAAAACGTGGAAAAGCCCTGCCTGGTTGAATCTTTTGCACCACGTCAATTCATGTCATCGTACAACAACCGATACTTCCTGTGCACCCTCAGCTGTAATCCTGAACTGTACAGGACAGGCTGGGCTGAATGGGGAGAAGTACAGAAGAGAATAAACTCCTCTGACATCTTCCAATCCATTACAGAGTTTGACTTTGTCCCCAAATGGTCAAGGAACTACAGCCTTGCTTCCTGGGGCAGACGAGCTCCTGCTGTGACCACCCTTCCCCCTCTGGTCTATCTCTTACAACTGATGACCTTCTGCAAGATAGGAGGGAAGGGAGGGCCAACCCTATTTTTGCTAAATCTCTTCTTCCTCTTCACTAGCAACCTCCTTTGGGTCCTGAGGCCCTTGTTCTGCTCTTTCTTTTACATAGGCTGCCTTGATCTGTTCCAGTTCACACAGCTCCGCCTCCAGCTCTTCCCTGTGCATTGACCGACGGTTCCTCAGCAGTTTCATGGGGAAGGGGTTTAAGTCATTGAAGGCAATGTTCATCAGCTTCCTACAATAGAAAACACAGGTCTGGTCAACTGATTTACTGGCTGGTAACACATGGTAACAGATACACCACGGGTATCCCAAGGCAGGTAAAGAGTAGGACCTCACACTTCAGCTCTCTGGGCTCAAAAGCCACCAAGCAGCAGAGGCTTAAAGGAATCACAGGCAATTTCTTCTCACACCAACCCAAGCAACACTTTAAACACACCTATAGCACACCACCAGGTACCAAGGTACCAGTGTGCAGCCACCAGTCAAAAGACAGTGGATCAGATGCCAATTCTGATGGCCTCTCGGGGAGGAATATTCCTGATGCTGAGCTCTTCTGAACATGGGAATCTTCACCTCAGACACATTGCCATTAAAGGTTGTGAGTTGTGCTGTGTACCCAAATATCTCAACTACAGCTGAGTGAAATGCAGCAAGCAGTAGCACAAGTTCCAGTTGCTACAAAAAGGAGGCTGACACAGAATTTGGGGCTTGCTCTGCTGCAGTGTGCCTTTGCCTGGGCCAAAAATATTTTAAGTAATCCCAGGAAGGGAAAGTCAAAAAGAGACAAAATGATGCATGTCCCATGGACCTCTCAATGCATATGCATCTCTCTTAGTAGATCAGTGACAATTCTTGTTCAGATGGAAGGTTGTCTACAACTCACAGTCCTACCTGCCATCCACGATCATTCTTGTGAAAAAGCGCAGGTACTGGTAGATCTCCACACTGTCATGAATTCTCAGGATTTCCTCCTCGTTGTATTTAAAAATCGCAAGAGCATAGCGGAAAATGACCTGGAGGGTTGAAATGTATTTGAGTTGACAAGTTTTAAGCAGCTGAGGGAGCAGGCGCTGCTGGCATGAAAGATGGGGTCAGGCACACAGCACTGCAGCATAGGCTTGACCCTGGGATACTCCTGCTCTCAACAGGCTATGCTAGGACAAGCCTAAAGAAGCACAGAGCGAATTTCAGAATGACCCTCTGTAAGCTAATTTACAGCCCAAGAGAATTCCAGGACCTACAAAAGGATACCACAAGGATTTCATAAGGCATGTCCAGTTCTCCCTATGCACAGGGGCAATGCAGGACACACATTTTCAGATAATAACTGCCTATCATGCTCCCTGAATCTGTCATACTACTTGTGTCCAGGTCACAGAACAGGAGGTGCCATGGCCTATCAGAAAGCTGTTTGGTAGCACAACTACCTGCTAAAAAGGGCCAAGGATACTCTGCAAAGTATCAGGGGTTAGGTCTGCCTACTGGTAGCAAGTACACAGACAACACAGGAGACTGAGAGACATCAAGGTGTGCCGCCAAACAGGCAGGAAAGGAGAAGGGGTTCAACCTCACACCTCTGATACATACGTATGTCCACTGCCCTGCCATCATGTCACAGAGGTGGTGCAGATGTGAGGGAGGCCTAGACTGAGAGTTGTACCTTAGTTCCCTCATACAAGAAGGCATCCCACACTTGCAGAAGGATGTCGCTGACCAGGCTGTCCACAAAGGCCACCAGAAACCAGTTGAAGGTGATGAGTGACACATCAATCTGATACTGCTCAAAATGAGCCATGAGGCGAGGCAGCTTCTCGGACAGGAAGTCTTTGAAGACTCTCTGATCTACCTAAAATTGACAAAAAAGAAAACTACTAAGCCCTAGTCAACAGCAGTCCTAGTAATGAAGGAGGAGCTGTGCAACAGGACAGTGGCCCTTGCGTGTTGGGGCCATCACTGGTGCTGCCTTCTAGTGAACCACACCCCAGGAAGAGCAGAGCATCCTTTGTCTCCCAGCCCTTCAAAATTACTGAGCAATGTACTTCCACACTGCACCCAGTGTGGAGCTGAAAAAGGGCTGAGATACAAGCAGATATACGCACATTCTTCTCACTCAAAAGGATCATATTCCTTCCTAATCTCAAAGTCTAGAAGAAAAATGCTGCCACATCTTCTTGCACCAGTCTTCCTGGGATTTTCTGTAATATCATGAGCAACCAGTTGAATGACAGGGATTAAAACCTGCCCAGGTCTGAATGACTGCACATGGCCCTACAGAATGAACACCTAGAATGCCTTTGACTTTACAAGCAGGACCCGAACTCAGTTAGCGTCTCTTTGTGGTCCAAGTACTGCCTGTGCTCTGCTTCTGCCTGCACGAGCCAAAACCCAGAATGTACTTGGTGAGATCCTTGACACAGGTTTATAAAGGCTTCATGTCAGCAGAGCTGTGGTTTCTAGAGGGTAAGCGCTAAGGAGCAGGACTATGGTTAGGTCTTTCCCTATGCCATATCGTACTACTGCCCCAGCTGTGTCAGCCCACTTGAGTGTGGCACTGTGGTACAAACCAGATGAGGTAATACGCTTTGTCTTTAAAATTTGCAAGAACCTTAAGTTTTCCAGCCAACTCAAAGCTGGAACAAGCCAATCCGCAAAGTATCACCCTAGACCTTCCTCTTTACATGGATCTTGGCTACACTTTCAGAGACCAACCATGAGTTCAGGAAGTCTTTCTAAAAAAGACTCTCTCAAATGGCCAGAGGGCTTTCTGATCTGCAGGGAGCCCCAAAGCAAGAACACACACTGTCTCTGATCATGAACTGAGGCAAGTACAGTGAATATAAAAAATCTCAGTATTTTCATCCTCCTGCACACAGCACTCCAAAGATAGAATGCAGTTTCAAAAAAGGTATCTTTTTTACAAGATACCTTTTTACCTTTATCAGAAGGGCTGCAGAATGGTGCCTTCTTCATATCAAAGTTTGCTGCTTCACCTCTACTAAGCCCTCCTTAAAATAGTAACTGTGGAATTAATGGCATCTTCCTTCTGACTAAGTTGACCTTCAAGGAGCAGTACCCAATTTCCTAGTGCTGGGGATCAATTTTGCTAGCACTTTTGTACTCTCAAGTCTGCAACACCTCTCCAATAGAAACGATTGCAAAGTGGAATCACTGTCCTGTGAGAAATCAAACGCACCACAAGTTGACTGCTCGCTTTTAAACCTTTACTGTAAAGCACTGTGTGAGAGTCCAAGCAAATGTGAGGGTGCACAGCTCACCTGTGATGTTATCAGTGTGTCACTGTAGTAGTCTGCTGGCATTAGGTTCTCCACGATATGGACTAGACACCAGAAAGCACTTTCCTCATCTTCCAGGACCAGGAGAGCTACAGCTGCCAATCTGTGATGGACAAGACACGGTGAAGCAATACAACACTAGAGGAGGTGTCATCAGCCAGCATATGAACTGAAGAATACAAGACTTCTTTTGGCATGTCTTCAGTTCATCAGTATCCAAAATATCCAATGCATCAGGACAGCTGGACAGAGAGAAAAGTGATCTGTTCTGCATGTTTCTGAAGGAACCATAAGGCTGTGATTTTCTTTCCCATGTACCTCTGTCAGAAAATATAGAACTGGTGTGACAAAGCTGGGTTTCCCACCTAATGGAATTTTCTGTAAAGCTGCTGAAGTTAGTAATGTGTTGATTTTGGCTATTTCAATACAGGAAAGAGCTCACTCAGAGGTACTCCATATGCGATGTAGTTCACCTTCCCATACATTCTTTTATATCCCTTACTTCCTTTAGCTCTGATTTATCCCTTTCAGACAGACTGGAGAGATGACATCTAATATCAAGGGTTCTCTGGAGTGGAAAATGTCTTTCTGAAGACCACACAAAGAAAAACAGAAATAGCTTATACAGATATTCCTCATGTGAAAAGCTCCAACTGGAGATTCTCTTCTTGAAGCTTGTGCTTGGTGCCTTTTTCACTTCGTAGGACAATTCTAAGAAGTCTGTGTTTACCTTTCCTATAGCTGTCTTTGCCAAGTGAAAGAAGCTTTTAGGTTCCCTGAACCTTCTCTTCTCCAGAAAGAACCACCTCAGTTTCCTCAGCCTCTCCTTGAGTTATTTGCTGCACTTCCCTTGTATCTTAACACTTCACGACATTTCCCTCAACTCTTCTCAGCAAACAAAGGAATCACCAATGCTGAGTACATTGCAACTTAAAAATTTAGCCCCCAGCCTCATGTTGTTATTCTAGGACTGCCTCACCCTACCTCCTACAGCTGTTCCTTCCTATTCTGTAACTACAAAGACACTAAACAAGTGCATCCTGCTGCTTGCTGGATCCCAGCAACAACACTGGATGAAAAAAAAAAGACACCAAATGCAGAATTCTGTAGGGAAATACCTACATCCAGGACAGAACTCCAGAGAGGCAAGCATCGCAGCCTGGAGTATGTGTCTACACCTTTTCAGTGCTATTCCATGAAGAAGCAGCATACCTGGCTTCTCACCTGTTCAGTCCCTGGCAGTATCCAATGGCAGGATTGTGCCAGGAGAATGCCAGCAATACCCTCCGGAGCTTGGGAATGAGCTGGGAAGTGGGAGAGGAGAAGTGCTTGTTGTTGGTCAGCGTGCGGGGCAGGTCGAGCTCGATCTGGCGGCAGGCAGGGTGCTCAGTGCTCCTGCTCTGCTGCAGCAGCCGCTGGTAGTGGTCAGGCAGGCGGCTGCAGTGCCGGCTGACAATCCACCTCCACACCCGCTGCCGATGCTCCACTGGAATGCCACTGCGGATCAGGCTCTTCAACTCTGCAGAGGGGTTCAGCTCCCCGATGCTGTTCCACCTGTCACGGAGGGGCTTCTCCACAATTTCCTGGCTCCTCAGTTTGTTGGACTTTATCTCCAGGGCTTGGATTTTGGCCAGAAGTTTCCAGTCCTCGATTTCATAGTCAGGTACAGTCATAAACCCATACTCATCATACTCACTGGGGGAACACAAGGCAGTGGTTAGTTCAAATGACAGTGCTAGTACCTCTGTCAAGGACACTGCTTGGGGTCATGCCAGCTACAGCCTGCTGCCACATTCCCATCACCCATGCCAGAGCACAGGTACTTCTCCTCACTTCCCTGGCAGCAGCATGTGACAGCCTGCCATGCCCACTGTCTCAGAGCCTTGAGGACCAATGGGAGCCTCCACCAATGGCATACAAGCTTAGACTCAACTGTAACTTTGTTCTGAGCTGTGGCCCAGCCTCATCAGACCTCTCTCACAGCTCCCCAGCCCCTAAGGGAGTATCTAGCTCACCCTGTGTACCTCCTCCCTACCATGTCCTACGGCAGACACAGTTCTGTAGGAATGGACTGCAAAGGCCTTGGGGCATCAGACCAAAGAACAGAGATCCACAGTCCTTTCTGATGTCTCCTGGTACACAGTGAAAATCTCCTACCAATTGGAACACACCAGGAGTGCTGATAGTACAGCTTGTTGAGGGTTTGTGCACCATCCATCCACAGGGTGGGATACTTGTAAGGTATCATCACATGCTTGACAGAGGGACCAAGCCTGGCCTAGGGGTCTCATCTCCAAAACTATCTGCAGAACCTGCGAGACTCATTAAACAGATAAAATGGACACAGCTACAGAACAGGAGCACTGACTGGGCAGGAAGGCTTAAACACACGTAGGGACCCCAGCAGTGCTGGTGGCAAGGCTCTCTGGAGGTTTCTAGTGCAGCCCACCTTCACTGCAAGGCTGTCCCCAGGATTAGCACAGGGCAATGCTGGAAGTAGAAAATCCCTAAGGACAGAGATGTCCCAGCTACCCGGTGGCCTCTCCTACAGAGAAAGTTCATCCTTATGTCCACTATTCACCTCTCAGGCAATCCATGGCTGTCATCACTTGCCATAGTATCTGCCACTGCAAGAAAAGTTCAGCTGTACCATCTTTAACTTCCCCTACCTATGGTGATATGCTGCTATCAGGTATTCATGGTCTCCAGAACACCAAACCAAACCAGCTTCCTCAACTTCCTCTGCTATGTTGTGACTCCAAGTCCCTGCTATAAAAATGTTCCCAGATCTCTCTTGCCTGCACATTCCCCTTCATAGACAGGCTTCTACAAGGGTGTTAATATTCCCAAGCTCTTGACTCTTACCTTACAGGGTTCAAGTTAAAACCTTCTTCTGCTTCTTCCTTCACATCCCACTGGAGCGATTCCTGGATGAGATTCTTCACCAACTCAGCATGGGAGCTGGGCAGGCCAGGCACAGCCTCCTGCAGCTTCCGCAAGACTGTCAGGTACTTGCTCTCCATCTGGCAGTTTCTTGCTTGCAGGCAGGCACACTGATGGGGAAACAAGAAGGAAAAAGCTGGCTCAGTGGGAGTTCTTCCTGCATTGCCACTGCTCTCTACTGGCCTGGTCTGCACAAAAAGCAAAGACTGCTGAACAGAAAGCCCCAGAAAACACATTCAGTAGTTTTCTACAGTCAGTGGAACTGCAGATGCGAATGAATCACCTTGGTCTATCAACAAGCACATACTGCAGGACCAGCATGCAACAGAAGTTGCTTATTGAGTGTGAGACCTACTACATCATCACTTACTTTAGCTACTGCATTACATCAGTGGGTGGCCATATTCCAGCCAGCTCAACTCAGGACACAATCCAAGAGCAACCACTGCATCTGAATTCTCAGCAGTCATTTTCCCTGCCCCTCACACAAGTTGTGTACACCACACTGAGCTGTGCCCTGACAAAACACACCGCTCCTGAGACCGGGCCATAAGCATACCATTTTCAGGATACATGGCAGCACCACAGACCAGGTGCCACATGCCCCTCAGCATCCCCAGTCCCATGGCACTGGTACACATTGTTTCTCGAGCACAGGAAGCCCAGTTGAGTTCAAATACCAGGACAGTACCTGACACCACCATACTCCTGGGCATACAAAGCAGAAGAAATGAATGATGATTTAGCCCACTCCACAAGTGAGGGACTGCAGCCACAGAGGTGACAAGACTCACCCAGTATCTCAAAGGAAGCTCAGTGAAGACTCCTGTTCAGTGGAAGCAGCAGTTGAAAACAAGAATGAAACAGAAACCACGGAGAGAATTAGGTTGCATATAGAGGGGACAGGAAGGAGCATGGGAGACTTTCATACTACCACTTTAATCAGCATGTTGCCTCACACTGAGCACCATGCTGGGCTGGTCTGATTACTTCCTTTCTGAAGGTTATGGCTGTTTCAGGATCAGAGAGGGCAGTAAGTTAGGAGGCAGGCAGGGTTTCTAAGAACTAGAAAGCAAACAGATTTAAGAATGGCAATAACACTTCAGAAACACCTTTTTGCCCTGTTCCAGAATCCACAGCTGTGGAGACATACCTGTGGTGGTGCATCCCCCACCTCAGGCCACACTATGATCTCAGAAATGCTCATTAGGCTTCAGCCTTGATGAACGGGACCTGGGCTAAGCTGCTCTTGAGCTTATCAGAAACATTGTCTGCTCCCAGGAATTTCTGCTGTCTAACGAGTTCCTGGTTTTTAATGAACAGCACTGGAAACTTATTTTTCTTGCAAACCCAAGTGGAATAACATTTTTGTTACCAAACTTTCAAAGAAAGTTACCAGCCCGAATTGCAGCCAGGATGGAAAATTACTATGACTAAAGCCCACTCTCTTGTGATCCTATGTGAGATCCTTTGAGCTCTCCCAGACTGCAGTGGCCTGTGACCAGCAACCTCCCTCTGAGTGGGGCACGTCTCAGAGCCAGACAGCTCTCAAGTTTGCTATACCTGGAGGACCACCACCAAACGATGACCACAGACCCTGAGCTGATGCCCCCACTCCTTGAGGCTCCACTCTTTGCCTGTTGAGAAGATGCAAAGTCACCCAACGTGAGTACTTCACTGAACTCGAGGGGAAGTTTTCACAGGTGTATTCCTTGTACATACTCCATAGGTCTGTGTGTGTGCAAGTGGGAATATGCTACAGCAAATCCACTATGAGTGTTGCTCTCCTAGATTCTTAAGTACCATAGATTTGTAAGTAAGTTAGGCCTACAAGTGGGCTACTTCTGTGCTATAGTAAATTCTGTATGAACCTTTTATTAAACTAAACTATTGATTAAGTGCTGCTAAGCTTAACGCTATTAAACCTTTAGGCCTAAACTGTTAGTCAAGTTCAGGACTCAGTTTGGCAAGGAGTCCACGCTGACCACTGTGACTCAATGGGAGGGTCTCCCTTATCCTTACCCTTTCCCATCCTTACATTTTTCCATCTCCAGCCTCCACACAGATCATTTTTGATTGATTTTAGTTTTCGATTTATCAATTTTAGGTTTTAGTACTAGTTTTCCTCTGTGTGCTTTAACCATCCAGTAAGTAGTAGAGCAAGCCTTGCCAACAAACTTCGTCGTGCTTTCTCTTTAATATTACACCTGCTTTAGCTGATAGCTCTGCTAGTGATTCTTTAAGCAACCTAAAACATTCCTTCATGACAATACCCTAAAAACCAAGGAAGTAAAACCTTGGCAAAACCCACAGAACAAATGCCAGCACACACCACCAGCCCTGGAAGTGGTTCAAGACCAAAAGGTAGGATTAGACAAGTCTGAGAGTAACTAGGTTATGCACACTTACAAGGCTAGAAATAAAATAAAACTTAAGAAAAACATAAAAACTCTGATCTAACTGCAGGACCTGAAGACTGCTGCCACGTGGCAATGCCAGGTCTAGCAGAGAAACCATGACTAGATGGAGCCAGGACTCAAGTCTGTCAGCTCCCAGGAACCTCTTCTGATTGCCTACACAGTGTTGCTTTTTCATTTGTGTACAAAAGCATAGTTGAAATGCAGGAATCTGGGTTAAGTTTCAGCACCCTTAAGACTGAACTTTGCAGGTATTTTACTTCTATTGCAGAATGAAAATGATCATGTCTAATTTGGGAACAACACAAAGCAGAAGAAAGATCACACTAAAAAAAGACATTGGGAAGAAAGCTTATTCCTGGTAGATCAAAATCCATTCTAGTGCCAATTTTGAAAATAAATTAGTAACAGTTCACACCAAAGGAAGAAGGTCATTTTGCCTTACCTTCATCAGAAGAGCTTTTTCATTCTCAGCAGCACTTGTCCAGAGTCGAGTAACCTGGTGGATCTCCGAATTGAGAAACTGATTCTGGGTTTTGTATGCATCTATATCATCCTGCCATGAAGCAAAAGAGTCATACAGGGAGAGTTCTTGGGGGGCTTAAAATGCCTCCCACTTCAGGGACACCAGGTTATGTTAGGGACAATAAAGTATCTTAAAAATTTTGTGTTCTGGGGAGCAGAGATGACTCCCCAGGGTAAATATTGCCTACAAAGAAAACCAAGGCACAACATTAAATAGGAATGTCATGCATCGTCAAGACACTTGAAAATGCTAAATTCATGTATATGCTTAAAAAACACGGAGACATCCAGGTCATATAAAGCTAGAGAAGCATCTAAATAAGATGTAGAATATATGTGCTTTGTTTGGGTTTCATATGGTTGGTTGATTTGTTTTTGTTTTTTTTTTTTTTTTTAAAGGAAACAAATCTCAGCCCCGTGGCTGACAGCAAAAACACTCTCCCACAATGTAGCAAGTGGCTTTTTGGGCAATTCTCCACCTCACACTAACTGGTCATTATAACTCTGCACATACAACAGGATGGATCTGAAAGAACCAGGATGTATTGGGAAACTTTTTTTCAAGAAGGAAACACAGGGGAACAAGTTAGTGAAGGCAGCAAGTGAGACTGCAGCCCTGAAACAAAAGAAAGCAAAGAAAGAGGCAAGCACTGAATGATGATGCAAAGTCAAACAAAACAGGCTCTGAGCTGAAGCAGACCCAGAAGCTTTTTCAGCACTCTAATGGCATCAGGTGAGCCCCTTCCAGCCTTTCTCCTTTGAAGGCAGATGGAACAACTAGCAGAAGCATATTCTGTGCTTCCCACAAGAAACACCCTCCCACTGAACCTGAGGGAACAGAAATGGGATCCCCCAAAAGATCTGTGCCGTCTCACACACCTTTAGGTGCTCAATCTCCTCCTGTTGCTTATACAACGTCTCTGCAGTGACAGTGTTGTCTTCTTGCAGGGGGTCAGAGAGCTCTCGGGCCATCTGTTCTGTCAAGGCCATGATGACTTCCTGTTTGGCATGGTTCTTCTCCATCAGAAGCTGCACATGTTCCTTGAGTTCCTGGATGTGGCTGTCTCTCAAAGTAAGTATCTGCTCCAGTTCCTTCTTTTCTTGTTCAAGAGCTTCCAGTCGACTAGTCAGATCTGCTATTTGTCTCACTTTGTGGCGCACCAGCTCCAGCCTGTCCTTATCTTCTGCTGCAGTGAGATACATGCTAGATACTCGCTTCTCCTGCTGAGCTGCCTCCAGAGCTTTGTGAAGAAGTTTAACCAGCTCCTGGAAAGGGAATGCAAAGTCATCACATCACAGTGCTGCCCAGGGCAATGGCAGCACAGACAGCACAGCACAGACCCAACAGTGAAACGTCCTCAAGATCTTGAAATTAACTCATTTCAGAAGGAAAACTGAATGCAGAAATCTTAAAACCACATTGACACCATAGTAAAGAAGTTCTGCTCGCAGAGCTGGGCCTGAAAGGTCTCTGCAGCAGGTTGCAGATGACTTGACTTTATGTGGATTGTAGCACAGAAGCTGCTGCTCACATTGTCTGAATTCTGGCTTTCCTACAATCATTCCTGGGAGGCCCAGCAGAGAACCTGGAGATCTGGTCAGCAGTGTGGTAAAATCGGGGGGAAATAATGCAGTCTGCATCCTCCTGTGCTACCAGGAGGTAATTGCAGTATCCATTTTAATCTTCCCACTGCCAGAGTCCTCCCTGGCTCCATCCTACCCAAAGGCATGAAACCTTGCCCCAGCAACACGTTGCTGATTCAGTCTTTGCCATCTCAGACACTTAAAAAAGCAAATCAAGGGTGCAATTGACTGCCCAGCGTGGGACCTGGCTCTCCTGTCTCTTCCGCTGGAATTATTACCATCATCATTAGTGGAGGACCTGGCATTGCTCCCCGTCTGTGAAGAACAGTGTCATTCATGAGAGACAGCCCTTGCAGTGACTCATGTCAAATAACATCTTAATGGTGGTTCACTGTTCAAAAAGAATGACTTGTTAACAGCATGACTCCTCCTGACAGTTCTTGCCAGTGTCACAGTACCTATTCAGGACTGTTATTTCATACCTTCAGTGAGCAATAGAGATGCACGAGCAAGACACCAGCAGAGCACACTTGGATTTGTTTTACCTCCCTCTTCTAGATGGCTGCACTTCCTAGTAATGGCTGGAGGTCCTCCCTTGTGCTGGGTACAATCAGGCACACACAAAGTGGTAACACCAGGAGCTTCAAGTGGTCCCATTAGTGCCTGCTGAGCACTTCTCAGCCTAAGACCAACGTACAGGGAGTCCCTGCAACCAGTCTCAGGGCCCTGCCCTTAGGAGCAGCAGTCTCTTTACCACACTTACCTTCTGTGACTTGACTTCCTCTGTCAGTGTCAGGATCTGTTGCTGTAGAACACTCACTTTATCCATTGGGTTCCTCTCCCTGGACAGTTCTTCATGTGAGCCTGGGAAGCCACTGTTTGTCCACCTGGCTTTCCTAATCCAGTTCAGCCTGGACTCCATCCTTCCATCCTCCAGGGTTCCTTCCTTAACTGAAGAGAGATAGGCTTAATTTACATAGAATTGCTTTGCTACTCTGGACTCCCAAGTCTTGCTCTAGGGGAGCAAGAGAAGGCTGACACACAGGACAAGGAAAATTGACCTGCTGGGATCCACAGGATTGAAGCTGAAACAGTGGGGATGAGACACAGGTATGCCCAGAATAAATGAAGCTGTGCAGTTTTATCGTACCTGTTAACCCACGTTGCACCCTCCTCATGTATATTGCCCAAAGCAAATGCAAGTTACCACCATGGAGAGGTAAGCATGCAGTGGAGCTGCTCTGCTTAGCCTCTGCCTGTGCAGCGATTCTATCTCAAAGAAATATGTCTGGCACCATGGATTTTGGGGTTTTTTGCCTCTGAAGAAGGTTGCAGAGGTAGAAGATATAGACAGATGCAACCTGAAGCAGAGTCAAAAGAGCCACTCTTGTGGCAACAAGACAAGAAGAGACTTGAGACAATGTGATAAGAGTCTTCATATCCCTTGACAACTTGCCACCCTCTCCTTCCCATTCCTGCTAAGTCCTGATTCCTACTAAAAGGCATCATGCTCAGACCCGCTCACACAGCTCAGTGACAATCACCTGCACACCCTGCCTCCACTTCCGCCTCTTGTTCCTCATCCAAGTTCGCAGGATGCTCTTGGAATTCATCGAAGCTGAAGACATTCTCATTGTTCCCCCAGAGCTGTTTGGAGCCACAGATATTGTAGACAGTGTTTCTGAAACAAGAAGAGATCAAGACAGGCTAGTGAACAGGAGAAGTCATGATCACTGCAGTCAGTGCACATTCAAACTACTCAATACCTCTACCTCCCCTTAATTCCCACTTCGCCTCCCAAAATCTCTCTCCTTCATGTGCTGAAAAATGAACTCTTCACAGCATTGGTGGATCTGAGGAGAGCAAGGCTTAAACTCCTGTAAATCAGGAAGATGCCACAAAATCAGTACCAGCACAGAAATGTAAAATCCAGTGATCTTTCCCCATGTGTTTGAGTCCTACACATAACAGATGAAACAGAGGGATCAAAGGTAACAGTAGACCAACATCACCTCTCTCTCTCCCCTCTCTTTCTCCTTCCCTCTCTTTTTACCTCCCTCTCTCTGCCCCTTCCCTTAGCACATGGCAGAAATCCCCAAGTGCCAAGAAAAGCTCAGCTACCTACAGCACAGCCAAAACTTGGACAAGGATCACATTTGAAGCAGCCATGGGTTCTGTGCTCCAAACCACATTTAATAAATAACCTTGCCACAACCAAGTCAATAGACTAAATGGAATAGAAAGATTCAGGAACAAATTTGCAGTCAGACCCAGAAACAGTTTGTTTCAGCTGCTTGTTATCAGATATTGCCAAAAGCACTAAGAAATAACTTACAGCATCATACAGAGCCACAAATGTACAAGTATTTTCTGTAAAACCTATGCAAAAAGGTATGCATACAGGTCTTTTCCCTTCTCCTCACATGCTGCCCATCAGCTAAAACAAAATAAGCCCCATTTTGAGGTCTGCAAAAGACTCACTGTCTGCTACTTTCCTAACTGTAAATGAAGATACCATTTAGATACTGTTCTCCTTATGCCTTGTTACTGGCTCCAGAGCAGAAGAACAGACGTTACTGACATCAGAGAACATACTGGCCCTCAAGATCAGCAGACCTTCAACCCCTGTTGTCTGCAGTTAGTACTCATCTAATGCAATTTTCCTGATTTTCTCTACCTCATGCTGCAGTTTGTTTTTCCCCTCAGACTGCAGAAGCTCAGGGATGCAGACATGTTACACTCATGAAGATCCAGCCTGACAGTGAGAGAGAGACTGGAGAGATGTTTACAAAACCAGGGGAGCAATACAATTTGAACCTGAAGAGACTATTGCTAGTCAGGCTCACAAAAGCAAGGCTGGAGAGTTAGGGGGGTGAGGGAAGAGATAATGTTTGCGTTACTTTTAATCAAAAATTAGTGAGTAGGAGAAAATGCATAGCCTGCAAAATAGTACAGCTGACTGTGATACTCACTGGTCCCATGGGGGTCTTTCCTCCTATGGGCATCAGATTATAGCCACAGCAGTGGTGGTAAAAAACAACAGGCAACCTCCCAAACAAAAATATTTGGCAGGTGGTTGGCTACCTACTACACCCGTGCCACTTACACATTTTTTTGGTTATATGTAAATAAGTGATTAGGAAATACCTACTGAGATATTGATAGGGTTGCTTTTGTGCAACTGTACCTGCCCAAGGCTTGTAACTTAAAATCCAGGAGGAGGAGGAGGAGTAAACTGTGCAGTCAGGCCATATTACAGGCTCAAGAACCTTTTCCTTGGAGCTCTTGCTTTAGAGAATGCACTACATTCAAGGTCCTTTGAAACAACTGAAAAGTGCTAATGGGCTTCTATCACTACCTACTGAGTCCAGCTCAACCTGACCCTGTGCCCTTCCACAACTGCTGTGCAGATGCATCACAGGCATGCAAGGCACTGCTTACACTGAAGAGAGCTTAACCAAGTCCTAGGTCTGCCACTAGGATCTTTGCTAAAAGAGCAAGATGATGTGAAATGCATCAGAACTGGGGTATGTGAAAGACCCTCTGGTAGGAAGTTTACTTTACCCTGGAATATCCTTAAAAAGCTGATTTACAGTTCTTCCACCTAGGCAAGAGTCCTGTTTCAAACAACACATGACAGGTAAGGAAGGCACATAGTGGTAGACCAGCATGTAAACTGCACTCTGCAATCTAGTTCTCTTCATTCACTTACTGTATCTCTGTCCAAGGGTGCTTAAGGGAGATGTTCTGCAAAGCAGTAGATGTTTGGGGTGCAGGCAGAGATGCTGCCTTTAAACCCACTGCTTCTGTTGGTGTTTTCACCAAAGGCAGAAAGTCATCATTGTCAACCACATCTATGTAAAAACAAAACAGAACACAAAAGCAAATGAGCAAGATACAATTCCATTGGACTTTGGCTCCTTCATGTAACCTGAGAGCCACAATATTTTACTACAGGTGTACATTCTATGTTCAAATGGTCAGGTGGAACTAGGGCAACAGAGCAGTCTTCCTTAGTTTTCCATCAAATTACAGAAGTTTCCATGTACAAATACAATCATCTATTTGAGGACAACCAAGTGATTTCAACCATATATATAAGAACGACTAACCCTAAACAATTAAACTTTTTAACTGCCTAGAGAAATAAGTAAGGGAGATTTTGCCATTCTCTTTCCACATCTCAAATCACGTTTCATAGTTTTAATGTGTGGGTAACACTCCACAGTTTGTTACCAAATTTTTCCCTGCTGTACCAAAATGCCAAGGTACCCAGAACCTTTCAGAGCAGACACTTACTAGGTAGGGAATTATTTGTCTCAAACAAAATGTGCATCTAGTCATGACTAAACAGGTGGACACCCTGTTTGTACCCTCCCCTGATCCACCCATCTGTGTACCACCACTTCTAGGAATGAACATCTTCATACCACTGCTGAAAATAAACTTGCTCACTCTAAATTTCACAGGCCTAGCAAGAGGAAGGGAATATACCAAATGTGCACACTTCAGATGTGTGAGGAAAATCAAGATGGAATGCACGATCATAAGATAATACCTGGACATCTCCAAACACATGCTGTGGATTTGGGGGCAGCTTATTCACTTTCATGCACAATAAGGCAGAAGTTCCAAATATTGACCAAGCATTGATAGTTGGCACATGCATTTAAAAATCTGGCCAAAACCTCTGCCCACTTACAGATGAGGAACACCATCCATGGAGGGTGTGCTGAAAGCAACAGAAAAGCCGACATACTCAACACCTACTTGTTCTGCCAGCTAGAGGTTCATTCACAAGCTGGGAGCTGCCCACAGGAAATCTGCTCTTAGTGTTGCAAAATTCCCAACGTCTCATTTGCAGCTGCTGCAGCCAGTACATCATTGCCTGCTTGCTGATTGCCTAACATAAAAAAAAAAAACAGGAAAAGGAAGGGAATAATCTCATCAGCATGAGACATATCCTGAGGGGATGACTACCACTTTGCTACACAAGTCAGCAGAAATAAAGGCCAGCTGCATCTATGCTGAACCTGTATCCTCTGGTCCTAACCCCGATTTGGGAGGACAGAGTAAATCTTTAGTATGGCCTTACGTAGCAGAATCTCAGTGGACAGTTGACCTAACTTTAAACATGTTTTGGTTTACTATGCTCCAAGGCTAAGCAGAAATGTCACAATTACTTTAGACAGGAATCACCCACAGAGGTTCTTAAAAGCAACTTTCACGGAGATAAAAATCTAGCAAAGATTCCTGTTGGAACAATCATTTTAGACAAGGGAGTTCATTTCAGTTCAGTACATTATGTGTGGACTGCAGGACTCCCCATTTGCTTTAATTCAGCACATAGTTCAGGTTTTATTCCTATTCTGTTAAACAACAGCCATCTCATCTCAGGTTTTATTCCTATTCTGTTAAACAACAGCCATCTCACACATATTGCAGTCCCACCCTTGCCAAATCAAGCAAGTAATTTAGGTCCAAATGGTAATGATCCAAGCTGGGAGGACAAAAGTGAAATTCAAGCTAAGAGATGCCTTAGTAGAAATCTGTCTGTCCTGACTGGGAATGTTTCATTACAAGAAGATGCTGCCCCTTACCTTCAAAGTAAAAGCTCTGCTTGGTGTTCTGATCTCAAAAATCCCTTCCCCATTTTCCATTTTGCAGTCAAAGCTGGCACTGGAGAGCTCGATAGACCCCAAAGGGTTAATGTCCTGGGCAGTTCTGTAGTACAGTAAGTGACATTTGTTTTCATCGTAAAAGAACCAGCGAGACTTCCAGGTCTTGATTGGCCCCTTGATGCCAAGCTTATTTAAATAGCCACACAGTTTTTTTCTGGATGTTTCTTTGCTAGGTTTCAGCTGTATGTTTTCCAGTTCTCCAGGAGAGGAAAGCACATCTCTGTCTTTCACTGAGGCTCCATTTCTCCTGTTATCATCTGGATTTGACTCCACTAAATTTCCTAAAGCTGCAAGGGGACATGCTCCGCTTTCTGGTCCTTTCTTCATCTCTTTCAGGAAATAGATCAAAACGGGAAATTCTTTAGGTAAATAAGTAACAGCAGATCCTGATTATATCATCGTTATAGAACCTGAAGCAAATAAAAAAGAAGGAATAAGCTCACATCTAGCATACAACAAAAAAACATACCCTAGCTTTCAAACTACCCAGCCGAGATCTCCAACTCTACTTTTGGTCATTGCTCCCTGCCTTCCTCTGCTCAGATGACCTCTACATATCTGCTTTCTTCCTTTTTCATTTCTAAATTAGCCTGGACTAGCAACTAAGAAACAGTAATAAAAAATAATCTTTTGAGTGAAAAATCAGTACAGCCTGTGAGCATACAAAATCAATAGCAATAATGAGGGCATTCAGGACTTAAAATGTTAAGGAATGGTTGTAGAAAACATGGCAAGATAAAAAGCTCTGGGGGTAGGCACATACTTAGGTCAAGGGGTTGGAGGCAAGCGTGTCCTGGTAATTACACTGAATGTTCAACAAATACTTTAAACTATGGTGTCTGGAGAAAAATCCAGCCTTATGCAGCATCCTTTCAACTAATTTGTGTCAGCTGAATATTTTTGTTAAAAAGCCTGTATGCTGTGTGTTAGTTCTTCATCCAGTAGGATGGAATCACATGATCAATTATGCATCAGAGAAAGTAATTCTGTGATCCCTGCAAAAGAGACTTGGTTGCTCCGTGGCCAAAGTAACCACCTGGGTCCCAGGAGGAACACAAGGTGCAAAAGAGAAAAAACATGCTGGAAGGGATCTGTGTAGATCTCTAGTTCCACTTTTCTCTCAGAGAAGGGGCCAACTTAAAAGCTGTAGCCAGCTGCTCAGGTATGCATTCAGATGAATTTTGATTATATGTAAGGATCAATTCTGCCATGCTTCTGAGCACTTTTTCAAGTGCTTCACCATATGACAGGTGTGATTTTCCGCTCAGAGCTGCAAACACCCACAGCTCCTGTATAATGAAAACTAACAACACTCCAGAACAGTATCTACAAATAATTTTTTGCATTTTTTTTAAACTTCAGTTTCAGACACTAACATACCTGAAGCAAATATGTAAGCAAATAAATTGTTGCAGTGTTGAGTTAGTGGGAATCTAACTGCAGACACAAAACTATTAAACACAACATCCAGCTGTATGACAACATGTGAATGGAGATAATACAACAGAGCACACAGAGATGTTGCCCAACCTCACACTCTGAGGAACAACTTACCCTCATGACTGAAAGAAGGCTTACCCACCCTAGCGCTTGCTAAGCACCATCATGTTTATTGCTGCCAACTCCTGTTCCCACATCAGCTTTACAGACAACTACTGATAATGTTCACTCTTTTTGGAAAGCTACTGAAATTCTTTTAGTTGACTCCCATGGCCATGGATCCTGGTGGTGAACACATTCACAAATGCCAACAACAAGCACCCTTTGTGAAAGTGTTCCTCAGCTAAGTTTCTGTAACACCCAAAAGCTTCATTTCCAAGCTAATTTTGCCTGCCACAAATGATCATCAGGAGGAAGTAACACTCTCAACTCCCCTGAACAGACCCCGGAGCTTTAATGGCAGTACCAAGTATCTCCTGTACAGTCTGAAGACTCCATCACACTTCTACCTCTTACCAGCACGATGGTCCATGGGTCCACACCATGAACAGGATCAAGTAAGCATTTCAGGTTCAAGCACCAAGTTACATGGAGTCATGTCAGATCTGCATTGCAAAGCCCTCTAGATAAGACCTCACCTCCGTAAGAGAAGCAGAGAGATGCTCCTGGAAGTCACCGTCGGCTGGCATAGAGTACTGCTGCAAGTACCACCAAGCAGGTAACCCCAGCCTCCAACAAACCAACAGCAACAGAAAAGCAGCTTCTGCTCCAGGTTTTCTTCGGTCCAGTCGTTGCCAGGGAACTGTCTGAAAAATATATTTAGCCAAAAGCTGCCTTAAGACTGACTCATCAATGAAAACAGAACAGGGAGAACCGCGTACAAACCCCTCCGGAGCTGCGGCGTGAGCGGCACAAGGCAGCCCCAGAGCCCCTCCCCGTGCCTCTCCCAGAAGCGCCTCCCAGCCCAGCTGCACCGCGCCGGGGCACCAGCGCCGGCGGCTGGAGCCTGGCACGGGGCTGACCCTGGCACCGCCTGTAGCGGGCAGCGGCGGGGGAGGGAATACGAGCCGCCCGCTGGTCGGAGGATTTTGGGGGTGGGGTGGTGGCGGTGCGGGAACGCGCAGCTCCCTCCGGGAACACCTGCGGCCGCCGCCCTGCGCTTCCTGCCGGGCCGGTCCGGCGGCGGTGCCCGGCGGGGCGGGGCGGGGGGGCCGGGCCGGGCAGCGCGGCGGGGACGCGGAGGTGAAAATAGTAATAAAGAAGGGCGCTTCAGCTGGTTGGGGGGGAAAGAAAATGATTCACCAAGGTGCACATGGAAAGGAGTCAAGGCTACGGGGTACCCGCAAGTCCCGTCTGCTGGGAGGGATTCTCCCCAAGCCTCCAAAACCACCGGGCGGCGATGCAGACCCGCTGCTCAGCGCACCCCGCAATCCGAGAGCCACAGCTGTGCAGTCAGCTGGAGCAACTGAGCAAAGGCAGGCAAATTCCAATGGGTAAGAACAGTGGTAACCTGGTGCCGCGGGAGACGAGGCTGATGGGATCAGGCTGGGCCAAGGAGTCTAGACTAAACCCTGAAAAAGCTTCCAGAAGAGATACTGCAAGGAATAGGGGTGTCAAAGACCAAAAGAATCGGTCCAGGTCCTGGGGGGAAGCCCAGGCGGCGGGGCAGAGCACAGACAGGTTCACATGCTCTCTGTCAGCTGCCTTTCCTCCTGTTAGAGCTGCCAGGCCCTGATGGGCTTGGCAGGTACTGGACTGGCCCGCGAAGGCAGTTCTTATGCCTTTATCCCCAGGATAATGAATCTGGATGGCTTTGACTTTCTCTGTGTGCAGTGTTAACTGAGCCTTGATATCACCCATTTCTGTTGGTCTCAAGAAAGCCCTCTTTGAGTTTAGCCAGCTTTACAGAGTTTTATCACTGACTTTAGTCAAGTTTAATACCAGAAGAGGAAAAAGCAAACCTAGGTGTCTGATGGGCTGTCTTTCCATTGGCCTAAACTGCCAAACTGTAACACACATTAAGCTGATTATAGGATATAAAAGCTACAGATTTCCATAGCCAAAACCAATTTGTCCCAAATTTGTCTTGCCTCAGCATTTGGCTATTAGACTAGATCACAGAATCACACAAGAATCACTGAATTGTTAGGGTTGGAAGAGATCTCTAGAGATTATCTTGTCCAAACCCCTTGCCAAGGCCAAAGTCACCTAGAACAGGTTGCACAAGAACATGTCAAGGTGGGATTTTAATGTCTCCAGAGAGGGAGACTCCACGACCTCTGTGGGCAGCCTGTTCCAGGGCTCTGCCACCCTCAACATAAAGAGGTACTTCCTCATGTTTAGATGAAACTTCTTATGTATTAGTGTATGGCCTTTGCTCCTCATCCTCTCACTGGGCACCACCAAAAGGAGTCTAGCACCATCCTCTTGGCACCTGCCTTTGAGATATTTATATGTATGGATGAGATCCCCTCTCGGTCTTCTCTGGACTAAAAAAGCACACTTTTTGCAGTCTCTCCCCATAAGAGAGAGGCTCCAGACCCCTAATTATTTCTGTGGCACTCCACTGGACCCTTTCCAGTAGCTCCTTGTCTTTCTCGTACTGAGGTTCAGTGCTGCTGGAATTGAGCTCCACTAGGAAAAGGGAAAAGCATGAAGGCTATAACTGTGTTTGCATGAAGTCCGTCTCTCCCCTGAAAGCTGAGCTGCGTTCTGCCCCTCAGTTGCACCTGGAGGGAGGTGACAGAACATGACAGACAGAGTGCCAACAGGGCAGCACTGGCCTGTGTGAAGGCTGGCCTGGAAGTGCCTTAAAAGTCTCAGCTGGAGTTCCTCAACTGGTTAGTGCCAAGACTGGCTGCAAAAGAATCATCCTGCTTCCAGTGTCACTATATACACTAGCACTGGCACAGGCACTGGTGAGGCCACACATTGAGTACTGAGTTCAGTTTTGGCCCCTCACTTCAAAAAGGACATTGAGGTGCTGGAAAGTATCCAGCAAAGAGCTACAAGGCTCATGAAACGTCTGGAAGACATGTCTTATGAGGAACGGCTGAGGGAGCCGTTTGTTTAGTCTCAAAAAAGGAGGCTCAGGGTGGACATCATCACTCTCTACAAGCACCTGAAAGGAGGTTATAGCCAGGTGGGGGCTGGTCTCTTCTGCCGTGCCTGCAGGGAGAGGATAAGAGGAAATGGCCTTATAACTGAGGCAGGGGAGATTCAGATTAGATATTAGAAACACTCTTTTCCTTGTCAGGGTGGTCAGGCATTGGAATAGGCTGCCCAGGGAGGTGGTGGAGTCACCATCCCTGGAGGTGTTCACGAGGTGTCCGGATCTGGCGCTGGGTGATGTGGTTTAGGGTTTAAGTGGTGACAGTGGCAGTGCCAGGCTGACGGGCGGACTGGATGATCTTAAAGGTCTCTTCCAACCTTGGCGGTCCTGTGATTCTGTGATCCTGTGCGCAGCCACACAGATTGCTGAGCAGCTGAGGAGTCAAAGCGCTGGTTTTGCTGTCTGAGGCACAACCCCTGGCGACCCGGCCCGGCACAGACCGCACGGCCGCAGCAGGACGGGAAAGGCCCCGCTCCGCCCTGCGAGCGGCGGCCTCCGCGCACGGCGCCTGCGCCCGCCCGCCCTGCGGGAGATGGCGGCGCCGTGAGGGCCCGGCGTCCATCGCTGCTTCCCCGCGCCATGAGGAACCTGCGGCTGCTCCGGGCCGGAGGGCGCCGCTGCGCCGCCGCCACGGGCACCCCGCGGTGCTTCTGCCTCGGCGCCGAGCCCGGCACGGTCCTCGTGGGCTCCCAGTACGGGCTCGTGGAGCTGCGCCCCGGCGGGGACTCGGTGAGAGCCAGGGCTGCCGCTTCGGGGGACAGTGCTCGTGCTTGCCGGCGTGTTGTTGGGGTCAGCTTTGTTTGCAGAGCTGGAATAAAGCGTTGGTTCCTCCGGGAGCGCGGCGGTGTCCGCCGGGAGCTCGCCTGTCTCCCGGTGCGGCGGTGTCTGGGGCGCTCAGACCCTCCGGCTGCGCCCTCCGCCGCTCGCCGCCCTCCCACGGTGCCGCGGGATCGCCGCACTGTCATCTCGGTGGCTGAAGAGGCCTTCTGTGCCTCTAAAATACTAAATCGGCCTCTTAAGAACGTGGCTGTGTTCTGACACGGATCACTCACGTGGCTTGGTCTTAAGCATGACCTGGCGAGCAGTGGTATCAGAGACACGGTTCACAAAACAGAACCAAGGAGGCAGAGAGGTAGTGAAGAGCACAGAAGGAAGCTTTTGAAACCGTGCTGTAGGGGGCAAAAAAACCCAACATATCGCTGAAGTAAAATACTGCTACTGAGTTACGAATTGTTGTTAGAGCTGGGTTGCTGTCTTCTCACTGTGTAGCTCTGAGGCATCTGATTCCCTTTAGTACATTCGTTTCTGAACTTAACTTGGCAGAAGAGCTTTGGGGCTTACCAGGGATCTCATTTTCAAAGACTGCTGTACCTTAGTGCACATGCAAATGCTTTTCCTTAGAAATTCTTTTTATGTTGTGTCTTTGAAGTCTGCCTCTCACCTTAATAGTACTGGGACACTTCAGGCAGCTACTGATGCACCTCTAAATGTTGACACTATGCAGGGAGTTATGAAAAAAGGGTTAAAAGATGATTAGAAAGACAGATTGGAAGTTGCGGTATTGTCATTTATTGTTTGCTTCCTTATATGAGTTTCTCGTTGTCCGCCTAGCACTTTTAATGTAAGAGGACCTTCACAGTTTCCTATGGATAAGTGAAGTTCCCTGGTGCCGTTCACATACTCTTTTCTGCTGTTAATGCTTTGTGTAACTGCAATAGGATGAAATATACCCACGGATGTCAGTCTGTCATTTCTGCAGAAACCCCACTGAGGTGATGTGTAATTACTAAGTCATTGCTCTCTCTGTGTCAAGGCGACAAGAGAAGTTTCCTTGGTTGAGGAGGGTTTCTTGCCTGAGGATGGAAGTGGCTACATCGTGGGTATCGAAGATCTTCCAGAGCAAGAGTGTGTGTGTGTTGCTACAGCAGCTGGAGACATCCTGCTCTGCAATCTGAGCACGAAGCAGGTAACAATGCAGAAAAACACAATGGTACTGAGGGATTTCAGAGGAAAGAATGATACTTGCAATTTCTTCAGGGGCAGTAAGTTTGTTGCATACTGAGCTGTGGTTAGTCTCCCTCCTGTGGGCAGACAAGCTGATTTTTGTGGGAGCCTTGAGCAGGATTAAGGACAGAATAGACACGCTGTAAAAGAAGTGCAGTGATGGCTTTCCTGTCCACTGCCCCAGTCCTCTTAAGTTTGCTCGGAGGGCTCTTAGCAAACACTCAGCAGCACAGGATCCAATGGAGAGTGTTACAGAAGCAGGATTTTGCTGAGACTAAGTGCAGAATAAAGTAATCATTCCTAACTCATAGTGTAGCTACCTTTTTGTTATCAGTCGATCCAGAACATCATGTTGACATGACTTAACTGAAGAGAGGAGAAAGTGTAGTGTGTTGTGATTTTAGGAACATTTGGAATGAAAAAGCCCTAGAAAACGTTAAAGGGAAACTGAAATAGCTGAGCAGATATGGCAGGAACTGAGATACTTGCTTTCTCAGTGTCAGATTTGTACTATCTTCAGCAGCACCCTCTGAAGTCTGAATCAGCGCCCATGATACCAGGCCAACAGTGCAGGTGTAGGTGGGCATGAGATGACAGTGATCTGTCTGGGTTAGCTGTAAGGTTGTGGTTATTTGCAGCTTGCCTGTTTTGATTCTTGTTTGAGTTTGATTTGCAAATACAACTTAAATATGCAATCAGCTGTGTCTGAAAAAGGTGTCCTGTATTGCAACTTAAAACATGTCATAGGGGAATAAAAATTAACGAAGCATGTGATACATGAGACTTTTCTTGCACTGATAGATGCATCAGAGATGAGGTCTAACTTCAGATTCTTTATTTCAAGGCTTTTTGGCTTACTTTCCAATGTTAAGGTTGTGTTCTTTTG